TCTCCTCAGCGCTGTGATGCGGAAGACGACATGTTCTGTAGTCTCTAAGTAGGAAGGATTTTTACTGAGTTCCACGAGGACAGGCAGCACCTGTTGGTGGAAACTCTGGTTGCCTTATGGGTGCCTCCCTGTGTGACTGATGCTGTTGTCAGTCAAGCACAGGTGGATACACCTTTTCAAATTCATAAAAACTCTATTGAGCTGCAGCAAGGAGCAGAGTGAAAGAAAGTGAAATAAACTGAGCCTTACACAGCCTTTAGACTTTGACCCATTCTGAATCATTTGTATATCTTGGCAGCCTTGCCCTGTAATTGATGCCATTCATTACATGATTGAGGGGGGGTGGGGGGTGTCAGTCAACCCAATATGCTATCCCACTTACNGAGTAATTGACAGAGGTGGGAGTAAGTCCTACACAGGGTTGGGTTGTAACGGAATACATGTAACGGCGTTACGTAATCAGAATACAAAAATCAAGTAACTGTATAGTTACTTGATTTTTGTATTCTGATTACGTAACGCCGTTACATGTATTCCGTTACAACCCAACCCTGTGTAGGACTTACTCCCACCTCTGTCAATTACTCAACAAGGCAGTGCCAAATACAAAATTACCACAATATAAAGTCATGTCCATTTTTAGTGATGCCCCAAGGCTCCTCATTTGCATTTTAAGTGATAAATACCAGAAGACCAGCCTTATAAGCAGCCAGCCACCTTCTACTTGGTAAAAAAAAGTGTCTCAATTTTGAGTTTGCTGCAAGAATTCCTGAGGTTAAAGCAGAGCTAGCGAGTGCAGGTGTGAGTATCGTAAACAGCCCCTATGGTGAGGGCTTGGGTTTGTACACTGTCAGCAGTAATCATCACCAAGCAGCTAATAGAAGCTAAGAGGGCACACCTGCCTCCAAACATAAATCCAAATGCATCTTAGGCTCCGATTGCAACAGCAGCGGGGGTTGACATGCCTTAATGTACCAGGCATGTGACAGCATTTTCTAGAAGTGTGGGTTTGGGTAAACTGAGCACAGAGGCTTCAAATATTTGAAGGCATTTTATTCATCCTCCCCGAGGTTGTGTGTCCTGGCAGCTCGCTACCCCTTTTTTTCTGTGCAACATGTCAGCCGTAAACTGGAAGACGCTGAACGCCAGCGCTGGCCAATAACACTGACAACGAGACAAAGAAACAGGAGGAGCCCGAGCCATAAGACTCCGCTAAGTGGCCCCCTGGCACCGAGAACAGCTTGTAACACAGAAAGAAGCAGAACAGAGGTCTGTCTGGGGCGGACAGCTTCTGAGGGTATCAGAGCAGTTTAAGCGTGTGTTGGTAGGAGTGTGTCAAGAGTTAATGCATGCAAAGTGCATGAGAGTGTCAGAGGGATGTCCATTTCCCGGCAGGTTAAGGTCAGGAGCCATCTCTCTGGGGATTTTTCTGTCACAGGCCGCTGGGCTCGACATTTCCCGCGCAACATCGGGCCATTTGGCAACAGCGAGGGTTTAGCCAGGGGCACCGCCAGGGATTTTGGGCCCCATGAAAATATATCACATTGGTTACTTAAAGAGCAACTTCCAGGTTAAAGACACCTGTGAATAAATGTGTAGGAAAATGATGTATACACTAGATTTTCAAAAAAATATACATAAATATACACTACAGTGACACCTGACGTCGTTTTTGTAAGACATTTTTACTACCGCATCCCTCCCGCGTGTGACGTAACATGGGGAAACAAGGGGGAGAGCGGCCGGTGTAACGTATTAATAAACATGGATCCCAATGCTAGTTTCGACCAGTGTTCGAGTGTTTATGAAGAGGTTTTTGGGAATTGGACAAGATGTGCGCCGGGGGGAGGGGGGGGGTCTTTGAGTGAGTATTGTGGGAATAATGAATAGCGTCGACGTGCAGGGTTGGGTGCTAATCGTAGCACTCTTCTGTGTCTTAGCGTAGCCCATGCATGTAATAGTGAGGTACTATTCTTGAACTCCTCCTATGAATTGTTCTTGTCTGTAGTTTTGTACACCGCGAATCCATTCGGATGTCATCTTTGCGCGTTTTACCGAAATGGAAAACAGAAAACAGACCCAGTTTTTCACGCAGAAGTTACGTAATTTGGCCGTATTTTGCGACGGAGACCTTCCCGAATTAGGTAATCAAATTAGGTTACCGAGACACGAGGGAACTTTTACTAGAAGCGCTATTAGGTATTCGTTAATTACCTACAAGAAATTTTAACTTTTTCGTAGATATAACTAACGACTGAGCGGAAGATTTAGGTTGAGTGTCCGAATATAGTAATGAAAACCCCTGCCTTTTTTCTAATAATTAAAAGTGGAAATTCTTCACATCGAGTAAACAAGACTTTACAGTAAAAAGCTCGGACTCCTGGACTTTTTGTCCGTCCGAATTTAGGGTGTTAGTTCGGTGGTACCCTGAGTAAAAGGAGAAGACCATGTAGGTGAAGGGAGTGTTGTGGTGTGTCTGTGTACCAAGTCTCACGCCGATTTGGTCCCCGCGGCATTCCGCACTTTTTTCGAATCGCTGCTAAGATTGCCCCGGGCACTGAACTGTCCCCGAGTTTGATAAAATCCTTGTAATGCTTTTTTCACAAATTTCTCGTTGAACGTCCCAAAAAAAAAAAAAGTATGTAAATCGAATTTGAACGAAACTTTTAATGTTAAATTTTTTCCTTACGTCCTAAACTATACAAAATGCTCTGTAGTTCCCGCTCCTTAAGTCTCCCTTTTCTCGTTAAAACTCGACGACGAAGAATTTTTGACGAAAAAAAAAGTGCCAGTATGCAGTTGCGCAGTACGTAATGGTAGTGTTTCCCGCTGTGTTAGAGGCGAGAGATTTGGCGGGACCACCCCTTATCAAGTCGATCAACGAACGAAACTCGTCAACACAACTCGCGCGAACACAAAAAAATCACTCGGACATAAAAAGCATCGAAAATGTAACATAAAGTGGTAAAAAATTAGTACCACGTCATAAACGACAAACACGTCCAATGTGTTTATTGTCGGGACAGTCCTGTAGCGTCAGGTGATAAAGGGATTGTCGCTTTTCTTTCGATCGATCGAAAGGCGCAGCGACCCGAGAGCAAAACCGTCTGTTTCTCTGGGGGAAGGAAGGGACGAGAACAATACCTAGTCCATATGTTTGATTCAGGACGCGTCATTGCAAGTGAGTAGTAAATAGCATTACGATGAAATTAATATTGGTGCTATATACTATCATTGAACCATGTTACAAACAAATACACTGCAATCGATTGTAAGACATCGGATTGCGGCTAGGTGAGTGGTTCTATCGACGGGGAAGGGACGAGAGAGCAGAGGAGGGGGGGGCGCCGGAGCGGTGGTGCATCACGCCTCAACGTACATGCCCATTGCAAATAGTCCTTTGGCAATTATGTAGAGAGAAGGGGGGGGATAGCGACGAGGGGGTCGGAGGAGGACGGAGAGAGAGAGAAGGGGAGGTATGTCGTGCGCATTGCATGCACACCTAAACGGTAATTCCGCATTGCCGGCTCGTATGCCGGCGTATGACGCGGTAATCAAAGCACAATACGCTAGTCATAGTTCTCGAGGACGTGATTGGCAATGATATAATAGTCTACGATGAAAATCAATATCGGCGACGTATACCTACTATCGATTTGAAATGTTACAACACTACACTGGCAATCGATTGTAAGACATCCGATTGCGGGCTAGTGAGTGGTTCGTATCGACCGTCAAGAGTGACCAAGAGGAGTGTATGGTGTCGGAGTTAAAGAGGAGGCATACCGGGCCAATAAAGAAGATTAGGAAACGGACGAGGACAGAGAACCTGCGGAATCGTCCGGAGTATTAATATTCCAAACACCAGGAGTATACGTAAGCTTCAACTATGTACGAAGTTG